AGGGTGGGCGCTGCTGGGGGGGCGGGAGGGCAGCGGCTCCTCACCCCCAAGGCACAGCATTTATCCTGGAGATCCCACCAGGAACACCTCATCCTGCGGGTCTGGGTGCCAGGCAGGGTTGTCCCTGTCCCCCTCCAGTTCCACGCCACAGCAGGGATGACATGTCCCCTGTGCCACAGGGATGTGCCACTGGACAGGGTTTCCAGCCAGCTCCTGTACGTGTAAATAGCAGATTATGGCATTTGGAGTGTGTGGCACGGCTTTTGCTTTGATGTGGGGTAACCTGGAGGTCCTGGCAACACCATGGGATGTGAAGGCAGGTTCTGCAGTCCTGGAGCTCCTGGGAAAGGATGTGCAGGCTGGGGGAAAACACAAACCCCAGGCATGTCATACCAAGCACACCTTCCCCCAAGCACAGATGTCACACAATTTGGGGTTTCTGCCAGGCTGACATCCCCACTGGTGTTCCCAGCAAGCCAAAGCATTACTGGTGATGGGCCAGGGGATCCAGCCTCCACCTGAGCTGTGCCATTGCCCCACAGTTACAGGTGCTGTGCGAGCATCTCCAGCTGAGCAGGTGAGTCCTTCAAGTGCACTTCAAGGCAATTTCCAGAAGCAGAGTATCTCCCATCCTTCCTTCTCTGGCATGGGTTCTGCATTTCAAATCATTTCAGTGTCAAAGGTGGGATAATCCTGGCTGTGTGTTGCTGCTGGCGAGGCTGCTGGAGCAACAGCACTTTCTGAGCTGGCAGGGGGACAAACACGTGTCCTTGTCCCCTCTCACAAATTGGACAGAACCAAACAAACGCCAGTCATGCACAGCTTCACTTGTCACTGGGGATGAGAGAGCAGCACAGCTTCTTGAGCCCCATCTTGCTCCAAAATGGGCTGGTTTTGTGGCAGAGACAGAAAACAGGCAGCACCCAGCAAGTCCATGAGCGCTGTGTGGATGGTGGGAGCTGCAAGCAAACCACTGAGGCTGGGTTTGTGTCACATCCCCAGGGTGGTCAGTGCCCGTGGGGCAGCAGTGTCCTCATGCCTGCTGCTCTCCTCTCCTGCAGATGCCGTGCTGGGGCCACCTACGCTCCGTCCTGAAGCTGCTTTCCCGCAGGAAACGAGTCCTGGCCAGCTCAGAGGGCTCCAGCCTCCGCCGCTGCCTCTCCACCGTGGATCTGGTTGCCTTGGGAGTGGGCAGCACGCTGGGGGCCGGTGTCTATGTCCTGGCAGGGGAGGTGGCCAAGACCATCTCTGGCCCAAGCATCGTCCTTTCTTTCCTGATTGCAGCTGTGGTGTCTGCCCTGGCAGGGCTGTGCTACGCCGAGTTTGGGGCCCGTGTGCCCCTGGCCGGCTCTGCCTACCTCTACAGCTACGTGACAGTGGGCGAGCTCTGGGCCTTCCTCGCTGGGTGGAACCTGCTGCTGTCCTACGTCATCGGTATAAAGCCCTCGTGATCCCTCCCACCGCTGTGTTGGTGGCTTTGCTGGGTGTCCTTTGAGACCTCCCAGGACCACCAGAACACCAGAACACAGCCATCACCTCTCCCCAGGAACAGCCAGCGTCGCCCGGGCCTGGAGCGCTACCTTTGACCAGCTCCTCGGCGAGAAGATGGGGAGGTTTTTGGGTGCTCACGCAGCCATGAGCTCTGTGGGGCTGGCAGAGCACCCAGATGCCTTTGCTGCTGGCCTGGTGGTCCTGCTGGCAGGTAGGATGCCTCCCCCTGTGCCACTCTCCATCAGGGTGATGATGAGCTCCTCACCCCACCATGGGCTCTTCAGAATGGGGCTGACCCCTCTGAGGCTTTGCCACTTCCCTCAGCAAAGAATAGGGAACTGGGGAAATCTGCAAGTTGTCCTGAATCTACCACTGCCCCCCTTTTCCGCCCTCCCTGGTAATGTCTACCCTGGTGTCATCTAGGGGGCTCATCCAGTTTTGATTTTTTATTCTCCAGGGCTTCTTTCCTTTGGAGTGAAGGAGTCCACCATGGTCAACAAAGCCTTCACAGCTCTCAATGTGCTCGTCCTGCTCTTTGTCACAGTGAGTGGCTTCATCAAAGGTGACATGAGCAACTGGAGGCTCAGGGAGGACGACCTGCCACAGGCAGCTGCCCACGAGGCTGGGTATGAGGGGCTTCACTCTCCCCGTGCTGCCTTCAGAGTGGGGTGGGTGTCAACACCCCAATGCTTTATGCCAGGAGGTACCACTTTCTCTGTTTCTGCCTGTTGGAAATGTGTCAAAGAGACAAAGTCCTGCTGGGTTGATGCTATGGGTTGAGTGGGTTGGATGGACTGTTCAACTTGACACCATCCTGGAGTCCCATTGCACTGACCCCCGTGCACTGCCTGACTCTTCTTCCTCCTCCCAGGAACCAGTCCATGGTGGACAACGTGACCAGTGCCTTTGGGGTGGGAGGCTTCATGCCCTATGGTTTCACTGGGACCTTGGCTGCAGCCTCTACCTGTTTCTATGCCTTTGTTGGATTTGACTGCATTGCTACCACAGGTAAGTGAGGTGGGGGTGCTGCTGCTGGGACCCTCCGTGCAGGCTGGGGGGCTGTGGCAGTGAGTGGCCCCACAGCTCTGGGAACTAATGTAAGGCTGGGAAATGGGCACATTCCCAGCTCTGTGCTGCAGCCACCCCCTCCTGCCCTTTCTAGGGGTCCATGTGGAATGTCTGGGCTAATCCTGAAGCAGAGGCATTCTCTATCCCAATATCCCTGGGATAGATGTTCACTAGAACATCTAGTGGTCATTGCCAGAAGGTCTGTGTCCTCTCTTGGGAGGATATAGGATCTGCTCGCCAGCCTGAGCTGGGATCTTAGCATGCCATGTACATTAAAGGAGCATCTGTTCCTACAGCTGAGCTTGTCCTCCCCAGGGGAAGAAGTGAGGGACCCACAGAGATCCATCCCCATGGGCATCATTCTGTCCCTCCTCATCTGCTTCCTGGCCTACTTTGGGGTGTCTGCTGCCCTCACCCTGATGATGCCCTACTACCTCCTGGACACCACGAGCCCATTGCCAGTGGCTTTTGAGCACATTGGCTGGAGCGCTGCAAAGTACGCCGTGGCTGTGGGGTCACTGTGTGCCCTGAGCACCAGGTGAGGAGAGTCCTCTGATGGTGGTTCTGTGGTTCAGAGCAAGGTACTGGAGCTGTAACACATCCAAGGATATATCCCTATCCCCTTCCTCCCGAATTCCTCCTTGCCTTTCCTTCTTGGCCAAAACCCTTTCCACACAAACCCTGGTTCCTTCCTGATTGAGAGCAGCCAAACCTGTTGCATGTCACTGGAGGAAGTGGTCAGGTGGCACCATGTCCACAAGAGTGGGCTGAGGTGTTCTGGCATGCACAGGTGACTGCAGACCCCTGTGTTCCCTGACACTGTCCCTCATCTGGTGGTGAGGAAGGTGATGATCTTGCTAGATGGTCTTGAGAAGGTTATAGGCCATACAGATGAATGGGAGCTCCCTTGGAGGGGCAGAAGGCAGGATAGCACCTCCTGGAATCCTCCCCACCTCTCCCCCATCTCCTCCCCTCTCTCATGCAGCCTCCTGGGCTCCATGCTCCCCATGCCACGGATCCTGTATGCAATGGCTCGAGACGGGCTCCTCTTCAAACCTCTGGCCAAAGTTAGTCACCGTCAGTGCCCGGTGGTGGCAACTCTGGTGTCTGGGGGAGTGGCAGGTGGGTGAGTGCTTGGGTTACCCTTACCTGCGAGCAGGGCTTGCTGGGTGTCCTCTTTCCCTCTAGCTTGACTGCAGCTGTCTGAGCAATGTCTCTTCACCCAGACACAGAGCTCCTCACGGTGGGTGAGGACACCTCTGCGGTGTCCCAGACACTGGTTCAGCCTCTGCCAGGCAGGAGGTGACAGGATGCTTTGTCCTAGTGACCAAAGTGTCATCAATTCATCGAGGTTCTGTTGCAGAGGGTGTCAGGGGGATATGGGAGGTCAGGAGAGTATGACTGAGGTGGGCACAGCAGCACTGCCAGCTCTGCTCAGAGGCTGAAAGGGCTTCTCTTCCCCACAGCTCTCCTGGCCCTTCTCTTTGACCTGAAGGCCCTGGTAGACACCATGTCCATTGGCACACTGCTGGCCTACTCCATGGTGGCTGGCTGTGTGCTGCTGCTCAGGTGACACTGCTGGGGACAGGGCTTCTGGTGTGGGCCATGCCTGGGACAGGCTCTGGCCTGGGTGCACTGCAGGTGCAGGTTTATGTGCATTGACCTCCAATGTCTGCTCCTCAGGTATCGGCCTGAGCCCAGCACTCGGGACACTCCTGCAGGGAAGGTCCCAGCTGTGCAGCTCTGGTGGGACCACCTGGTCCAGCCGCCCCCCCATGCCACCCCTCGCTCCTCTGCTGTGGTGGTCTGGGCTCTGACAGCTGTAGGTATGTCTGGGAATGATGGATGGGCTCTACAGGAGCTGGCACTGGGGAGCCATGGGGGACATCCCTGCTGTAGCAAGGGCTGGTGGTTCCTGCCCGTTGAAAACCACCCAGCAGCTGCCTGGCTCCTTCCTGCCCTCACCCCACTGCCACACAGCTGGCTGCCCCAAGGGGACCTCAGGAAATCTCCTGCTCCCTCTGCTTCCCAGACTGGAGGGAAAAGCTAAACCCACCATGAGAAGCCACCCAGTCGTGTCCCCTGGTTGTCATTTGTCACCATGGCAGCCTGGGAGAGGGATTGGCCCTGTCCAGGGAAGCTGCTCTGACACCGTGGTCCCTCTGCAGCCACCCTGGCCTGTGCCCTGAGCTGGGTGAGTGCTGCTGGGCTGCCCTGCCTGTGGGCTGGGGGTGCCTGGTGCATCACAGCTCTGGCTCTGCCTCTTCTGGGGATCCTGGCAGCAGCTCTTCTCATCTGGAGGCAGCCTCAGAGCCGGGACAGAGCATCCTTCATGGTGAGCACCCAGCCCAACCCTTGGGATGTACCCAGGAAGAACAACCTGGAGCACAGAGAGCAGGCAAGTGCTGCAGCCCTGTGGGGAAAGGAAGCCATTGGTGTTCCCTCAGCTTTAGGTCAGGCACATCTTTGCTGCATCCACGTTAATAAGGTACTGCTGGAGGCGGCATGTAGCTTGTGGGGTTTTCTATAGGGGCCATGAGGGTTCTTCACCCCATGACCTGTGGGCTGAAGGGGCATCTCCCAACTGAGCCCTGTGCCTGCTGGGGAATCAGCTACTCTTCAGTAAAAAGATACCTGGCCTTAACACCTTGGCTTGGTTTTATGAATGCTTTGCTGCCTCCCACCTCAAATTCTGCTGTACCTCCTGCCCCAGTGCAGGACCTGTCAGCCAAAACACCATCCACAAACATCCCTCTCCAGCACAGGCTGCAGTTCCAGCTTGGATCTCTGAACCTCACAGCCAGGCCGGGCTTCCTCTTGCCTGTGAACAACTAGCCAAAGCAGCAAAGAGCTGTATTTAACTGTGGAATTTACCCTTGTGCTCCCTGCAGGTTCCCTGCCTGCCCTTCCTGCCTCTCCTCAGCATCTCCATCAACACTGTGCTGGTGGCCCAGCTCAGCGCGGCCGCCTGGCTGCGGTACCTGCTCTGGATGGCTGTGGGTAAGCACAGCCACTCACCAGGCCCCCGAGCTGGCACCAGCCCCTCTGGGTGGGGCTCTGGTGGTTTGAGAGCCCGTGGCACTAACGCTGCTCTGAGTGGTGGTGGGGAGGGAGGAGATGCTGACCTTTGATGTCCAGCAGTGGTGGGAGCACTGTGTCCTCTGATAGGTGGCCTAAAGGAAGGGGTGAGCACTTAGTGGGTGGGAGGAGAAGGAAGAGAAACAGTCCATACACACCCTGTTCTGCCCTTTTCCAGGTTTCCTCATTTACTTTGGCTATGGGATCTGGCACAGCACCGAGAGCCACTGGCCTGAAGGGACAGGTCCCCAGGAGCTGCCAGGAAGCAGAGCCAGGGAGGTGGCCCTGGAGCCCTGTGGGACTGCCCTGTGCCCATCTGCTCCAGGGCAATAAAAGGGGATGGCTAGTTCCTGAGTGCCTGGCTTCCTCCATCCTGTGCCCAGGGGGCAAGGAAGCCCCTTGGGCTGTGGGTCCTGTCCTACAGAGAAGGCCAGCCCTGCCAGAGCTGCAGGAGCAGCTTCCCCGAGTCTGGTGAACATTCCTGAGCAACCCAAATCCTCACAGTGAGCCCCTGCAGAAGGAATTCTGTTTGGAGGGGATAAAGCACACAAGTGATTTTGCTGCTGTTGCTGGGCTGTGGTTTTGTGGTTTTGTTTTTGTTTTTGTTTTTTTTTTCATTTGAAACCTTTCCCTGCAGCCCCCCACAGGCCCCCTTGCCCACCCTGCTCCTTCAGCTGCTCACAATGGGTGAAGGCTTCTTGTGCTATCCTAACTCTCCATTTTGCCTGGGCACCCAGCCTGAGCTGACCTGTCATTCCCCCCATGACCACCAAGGTACTGCCAGGTCCAAGCTTTTCCGTCTTCATAGTGTGCAAGTTCTTTTCTGCACTCATTTATTCCTCCTCCTCAGTTCCCAGTGTCCCCTTTCCCAGAGTTGGGCACATTCTTCCAAGTCCCACGCAGGATCTGCCTTTGGGGCACTGGGACATGGTATCAGGTGTCCAGAGCAGGATCCCAGACCCCACAGCCTCATATCCCTTTGTCCAGAAATCCTAATCCCTTGAGCCATAACCAGGCAGGATTTTGGGGCATCCCCTGCTTTGGTGCTACAGCACCAGGGGGAGGCACAGATGATGTGTGGAGCAGAGGGTGCCCTGGTGGGACATGGCTCTGACACAGCAGGCTCCCCATTTCCCCCTCTGGCCACTCCATGGAGGTGTGTGGGTAAGAGCTGGACCCCACATCTATCCTGGCTGCCTGTTCAGCTGCTCTGTTCATGATAAGGGTCAGCACAAAGGACGGAAGTGGCTGTTGCAGTGGCCCTGATGCTGGGAGGGTCCAGGTCTGCCCTGAGCTGGGAGCCCATTGAAATGAAGGAAAAGAGGAAAGGAGCAGGAAAATGGGGATTGGCCTTAAGGGCCTCATCTGGAGCTTCAGACTCAAAAGAGTCTTTGTGGTCCCAGCTCCCACCCTTCCCCTTCTTCCCACTGTATGGGGTGTGGAACACACAGCCCCACTCTGGGACGCTCCTGCAGCAGTCCCCCAAACCACTGCCATGGGATTCCTGAGGCTGCTGCTTCTTACAGATTTGTAATCGTTACAGCCAGCACACACACACACACACACACACACACCTCCATACTCACACACACAGACACACACACACACACACCCCCATACTCTCACACACACACACACAGACACACACACACACACACAGACACACACACACACACAGAGCCCTGGCTAAACAGCCCTGGGAGGGGGACAGGCCTGTGACAGCCCCAGAGCAGTGACTCCCACCACACTCAGGGGAAAGTGCTTGTGTGCATCCAGCCCTGACCCACAGCCATGCTGGCAGCACCTTCCCTGCTGGGGATGCATCAGCTCGAGCAGAGGGATGTGATGTGCCAAAGCCTGATACCCCCTGGGAGGATGCTTTCCTCCCTGAATGTGCAGCTCCAGCCTCTGTCCAGCTTTTGGGGGAGCAGATGGGACTGGTGGTGCTGCTGATGGTCAGCAGGGACAAGTAGGGCTTGGGGTCTTCGTGGCAGTGAGCTGGGACACACCTGAGCTGCAGGAGCAATACCTGGGAGATGTTTGCTGAAGGTAGAGGTGATGGGAATAGGAGGGTATGGGTAGGAGCCCTGCCTGCTGAGGTTAACACCATGTCCTCAGTGCCCTCCTCATCCTCCTGATGCTCGTCCCCATCCTGTCCTAGTGGCCTCATCGTCCTCGTGCCCTGGGGCAGCCCTGCTGCTGTCTGTACTCAGAGCCAAGTGCTGGGTCGGGTCCGGCCCAATGCAAGTCTGCGTGTCCTGGCTGACCCCTTTCACCCCCAGCCAGCCCTCACCGGAGGAAGGGCTGCAGGGACTGCGTGGGTGGGGGGCCAGAGTCCCTCTGCAGCCCCCCACGGGCTGGGGAAATGCAGGCGTGAGTGTCCCGTGAATGGCTCCATCACTCCGGTCCGTGAGGCTCGGCCAGCCCGGAGCCCTGCCCCGGCTGGGGGCACTCGTGGGAGCAGCCCCGGGGCTCGCAGGGCTGCGGGGGAGCCCCGGCAGTCCCCGGCAGAGCGCGGTGCCCCCGCTGCTACGTGGCGATGAGGGGCACCTCGCCGGCAGCCATGGGGAAGGGGCTGCCGTCCCCCGCCTTGAGCACACGGTACAGCAGCTCCTCCTTCTCCCGGCGAGCCTGCTCCAGCAGCTGCGCCTCCTTCTCCAGCGCCCCTCGGGCGGCCTGCAGCTCCTCGGACAGCTGCCTGCGGGCAGAGGGCACGGGCTGCCGGAGCCGCCGGGCACAGCACCCGCTGTGTCCCTGCACTGCCACCTGTCCCCCATCACAGTGCCACCTCTGCGCCTGGGACCGGCACTTACCTCGCCATGACCAAGTGGTTCTGGGTGCGAACTTGCAGGTCCTCGTTCTCCTGCTGGAGAGTTTTCACCTTCTCCTCCAGCAGAAGGTTCCTCTCCTCCTGAAAGGAGGCATGAGGGTGAGGAGAGAGCTGGGAAGCACTTCTGACTCCCCTGCCACCCCATTTTGGCTGAAATGCTGCTCTGGTGGCGTTGCTCCCACATCCCCTCTCCGTGCCAAGAGAGGAAACGGGCGCTATCCACCTTTGCTCCAGCTGTGGTTTCTGGGCAGAATTTAGGTGGGTAGAGGAGCTGAAAAGAGGAAAGCCCACCTGTGACCCCCCCTTTCAACCCACCACGTTCTTCAGGTGCAGCAGCTTCTTGTCCAGGCCGTGGATGTGCTCGTTCTTCATCTCGATGACGAAGTGCAGGCTCTCCAGCTCCTGCTCCCAGAAGGGGCTGGGGCTCCCGTGCTCCTGCAGGGCCATCACTTGTGTCCAAGGGACCTCAGTGCCTCCCTGGCACAGGCTTTGCTCCCCCCCTTCAGCTGTCCTGTGCTCCCCCCTGGTTCCAGCCCAACCCTGCCAGGGCCCTTCAGAGAGGCCCCTTGTCTTGGGTCAGCACCCCATAGCAGGTCCCCTCCCTGACACCCCTCCCTGACACCCCTCCCTGCACCTGGATGTGCTTCTTGTAGTCTGTTCTCAAGAGTGACTCCTCCACCCGCTTCATCCTCTCCTGGAAGGATTGCAGCTGGGAATTCAGTACCTGAATTGTCTCCTAAGAAAACCAGGGAAAAAGCAGAATGTGGTATCTGGGATTTCTTTTGGAGCCTGGGGACTGCTGGGTTGTGGTACCAAAATAAAGCCAGGGCTGGAGAGCTGATGTGGTCCCTGAGCACACCAGGGACTGAAGTGACCACTGAAGAACATGGGGCACCATGGCAGAGCCAGCAGATGGTCCTCAAGCCCTCCACAAGCCCCCACCCACCCAGGGGTTTTCTGCTGGTACCTGTAAGGCTGCCTCAGATCTGTGGTGGGACTCTGTCAGCAGCAGCTTCTCCTGCTCATATGCTCTCTGGAGCTCTGTGGGGAACAGGAGCTGAGTGCCACCAGTGTGGGGACATTGGGGCAGCAGGCCACACCTGAACCCCACAGTTCTGGAGAGCAGGGAGCAGCATCCCCATGTCCCCCCAGGCAGCCAAAGGGACACTGGCAGTAGCGGGGAGAGGGGAGGGGAGCTGCTGGGGGCCCTACTGCCCTGGAACACACCTTGCAGGGCTTCCATGTGCTCTCTCCTCAGGGCATCAAGCTGTTCCTTCAGCTCCAGCTCTTTTCCCTTTTCCACCTGGGAAGCAGTCAGATGAGAAATCCCAGTGTAAGGGATGCAGAGCTTCACTGCTTTGGACTTCCTCACCCTTTCTTAGACCCTTCCTTTCCCCAACCCAGGGAAGACCTGGCTGGTGACACACTCCATGCCCAGCTGCCGCCTCCAACAGCACCAGCCCTTCCAGCTGACCTGGATCTCAATGTCCTGGGAGATGCTGGAAGTGCCTGCCCGGCCGGCATCCTGCAGCCGCTCTTCCCCCTCCTCCTCCTGGCCTTGGAGGAATCTCGCGCTGTCCGTCCACTCCTCCGGCCGCGCTGCCTTCTCCCCATCCTCAGGAAGCAGGGAGGCATTGGCTGCAAAACAAATGAGGCTGGAGCAGCACTGGCTGCCTCCCACTGTCTGGGCTGCCTGCACATCCTGGGCAGCTGAACCTGCCAGTGCCATGGGCTGGCTTCAGCACTGCCCTGTTCCCACTGGAGAAACACCTCCCTCTGTCTCACTAGTCCAAATTAGCAGTGATTGGGATGGTGCTGGCAGGCTCAGAGAGGACACAGAGCTTGTCAGGTCTGTTCTGGGGATGACCTGTCTGACTGAGAGGAGGGGATGCCATTGTCTCTGGGATGCCCTGTTTGCTCCCCTGCACCAGCATGCAGCTACATCATCCCCATCCTCCCTGGTGCCATGACGGGGCCTGTCCACTGCTTCCTTAATGTCACTCTGAGAAAGTAAAGCAGGGGGAAAACACATTTTTTTCTCACCATTCTCTGTCTTCAAGGCTGTGAGCTCCTGGGAAGCCGGTCCCCTCTGCTGCTGGGCTTTTAGCTGTCTCTGGCAGAGAGAGAGGGGGCTGGAGCAGAGGGCAACAGAGAGGGGCAGGTGGCTGCAGGCAGAGAACACCCTGCACTGATCCTGCATCAGCTCTGCTCAAACACAGAGCTCAGGGAGCAGCAGTCCCTGCCCTCTCCCATCCCTGAGCACTCATGGGTGTGCAGGTACTGCCCATCAGGCAGCCTCAAGCTCATGCCCATTCCCTGTATCCCAGACAGTTCACCATGTGGCATTCAACTAGAAAACCTGGGGGATGCTCACAACATCCCACCGACTTGGTGCTGGTGCAAAATGGGCTCCAGCAGCAAAACATTTGGTGGGGGAGAGCAGGCAGCACTTGGCAGGGCTCCAGCTTTGGCACTCCCTTGCCACCCTCCTCCTGTCCTGGGATGCTCAGGTCAGTCTAGTTGCAGCCCCCCAAACACACACCTCTGCCAGGGCCTTACACAGATGGGCTTTGACACAGCTGGAGCAGGCGTGAGAAATGAAAAATAACCATAAATCAGAGGCGATACAGCCCCTGTGCAGGGCTGGCAGCAGGCGAGAGCAGGCGGTGGCCAAGCAATGACCTCAGGAGCGCAGGAATGTGCTGCACAGCCCCGCACTCCCGCACGCTCCCACTGCTGCCACGGGGCTGAGATAACCCAGAGCCGGGAGCTGCCTCCAGCAACACAGCTCCGTGGGATGCCTTCCAGCCCTGCATGGGTTTAATTTAGTCACTTGGAGGGAAGAAGGAAAAAAAAAAAAAAAAAAAAAAAAAAAAAAAAAAAAGAGTGGATATATTTTTATCAGTTGCTGAAAGATAGAAGCAAAACTCACAGGCTCTCAGCTCAGATCCCTGATGCTCATCACTGAGCTGTGCTTCTGGGTAAGGGCACAGATGTGCCAGGGGCGAGAAAATTCACCTGAAGACACATTGCTGCTCTCCAGGCCCCTACAAATACCAGTCCCTGAGGAAAGCAGCCGTGCTGCCTGCAGGGAGCCGGGACCTGCTGAGCGGCTGCTCCCCAGCTCGGCCCCGCGCACAGCGGCGCGGCCAAATACAGCCCGGATTAGGGAGCCTGGCTTGGGAAAAAAGCAAGGGAAAGCAAACAGACACCCCTGTCTCCGCCTCCCCTGCTGCCCCCCTTCTGGAGCTGGAGGGAGGCGCAGTTCCAGAGAGCAGGAGAGCTCCAAGCCTCTGGGAGGCCACGGCTTTATCTTCCCTTCTATGGCATCAGCAGCCACGGCGTTGAACGTGGCCCAGGCGAGGGGGCGAGGAGGCACCCGGCAGTCAGAGTACACAGGGCTTGTTCTCCTTCTCCATACAGCTCACCCTGAAAGCGTGGGGTGCCCTGGGATGCTGCTGAATCCTGGCACACCTGACTGCAAAGGGTCCCCAGGAATCCTCGCCTGTCCCCTGCCACACCTCGTGCCAGTGTGCATCTCCCTGGTATTTAACGTACCTATGTCCTGTGTTGGGTTTTGAAGTCAGGGTACAGAGATCAAGGAGAGAGATGAATGAGACAGTCGAGGCTCTGCAGTCCTGAGGGCATCATAGGAGTCCCAAAAGGTCCCCTCCCTTAGCCCCCCACCCCATATCCCCGCTTTTCAGCAAGAAAAGGCCATGCAGGAGGATCGTCCTGACACAGCGGGTGACACAGACTTCAAGAGTTTTGGATGACCTCAGCAGACCTGAGAGCAGGATGCTGTTACCACCTCCAGGAGGGACCCCAAACCACCTCTGCTGCATTTGTCCTGCTCACTGGCAAAAGTGATGCCTAAGGACAGAGAGCCCAGGGCTGGTCACCTCCATAGCACAGGCAATGTCCACAGCACAGACCTGGGGAATCTTCACCTCCACACCCCAAATCCAGCAGGATGGGACTTCATCCTCTAAAGGAAGATGGTTTGATACACCTGTACTGAACTCAGAAATAGTTCAAGCGAGTAACAGGCTCACCAGCATCAACAGACAAATCTAAATACTTGCCCTGAGGCTATGAGTGAGGCACCTTCCCACCTCTAGGAGCAATTAAAACAGCATCTAGAGCTAATTTTAGTCATAAGCACTCAATTGGCCTTTGGGATAAAAGCTCCACCTCTGGTGTGAACAGCAGAATTTGGCTGAAAGCTCTGAAATATGGAGGGACTTTCCACTGTCACTTCCAGAGAAGCTTTGTGGCACCCAAACCTCTGGTATTGCCTAGTGCATTTTGGAGAGCTGGAAAATCATCCTGGAATCCACCTCGTGTGGAAGGAGCAGGTTGGGAACTGCTCCAGCTGGAACAGCTTTGGCCAGGGGAAGAAGCAGCCTGATACATCCTGCAGGTGGGGGCCATCCACAGCTCATCCTGTAAGGTCTTGGAAACCTCTGCCAAAAATACCTTCCAGCTATGAAAAAAACAAAAGTATCTACTAAATATTTCTAATAGTCTGGAGCAGAACTGTTTATGGATGGATTAATAGGGATTTACAACCGGACCTGAGTCATCTCCAAGGGTGCTGGGGCAGGGAGCACCAGTGCAGAGCAGCTGGCACAGTGTGGGCAGCCGAGGTGGCTGCAGCCTCTGCTTCAGCCCTTAGCGTGAGGTGGGGTTTTGGACTGTATTTTTCTTCCTCTTTTCCTGTTTTACAAGTACATTAAGCAATTCAACCATGCAACCTAGCAAAGGAAATCACAAAGAGCCAGGAAATGAGTATTTAAATCCTGACTCTGCTTCTGGGGAGGAGGTTTTGCTTTGTGGCTGTGGAGAAGGGGGCCAGGATTTGGTCCATGACTCTAACACCTCCCAGGACCTACAGCAGATGCTCAGTGCTGCCAGAGCAATGCTGGCACAGGTCCGTGGGACCTGTCTTTAACCCTGCTGCTGTCTTTCCTCCAGTGACGGTGATGGTTGTGTTAGGAGGTGATTATCACCTCTCCTACAGTCAGATCTGTGCCGCAGACTGTAGGCAAACACTTCACACTGTTGACAGCCCCGAGTTTTGCATTCTGATCCTTCCCTGGCTCCTGGTGCCATGTCCAGTTCCTAGCACTTCAAAATAAATCCACCCCAGCCCTGGAAGGTGGCCAAGCCTCAGCCCTGACCTTTTGGGAAGGCAACTTGGCCTCTCTGATGCTCGGAGTGTGACCAAAGCGTGAGCGGTGACCGTGAGTGGCCAAGCACGGGTGGATGGAGCTGAAGGGGAAGGAAACCCCAGGGACAGCACCCACAGCTCAGGGCTGGGCTCTCTCTGTGCCTCCCTTATCACCCTGCTGCCCGCAGACTGGTGCTAGGGAAGGATGAGGCTGCCAAGGCGCCTCCCCAGGGCACACAGTGGCTCCTGGTATCTCATCCACCCACCAGACCCAGCCCAGCACCAGCTCCTCAAGGTCACCTCAAACCTGGGACTGGCCTCAAAAGCCTCTGCAGTCCCCAGCCCCATTAGAGTCCCCAACCCCATGACCTGCTTCTGGCTTCTGTCTGCGCTTGCCCCTGGGGTTTGAAGCCTCCCCTAATGCCAAGCAAGTGCAAGGGACCAACTCTGTAAGTCCACCCATCAGCAGTGGGAGGTGAAGGTCTCCCATCCTGCCTTTTGGCACATGAGATCATGGGCAAGAGTGGCTCCATGCCTGCCCTTATGCCTTTTAGCTGTAACGGGGTTTTTAGGTGCTGCTTTCAGAATGACTTTCAGTCACAGCAGCAGGGCTGTTCTGTGGGTAGTGACTGCTGCTGAGCAGTGACATGGGGCTGAGCAGAGGAGCTTGAGAGCGAGCAAGTGCAGGAAGGGAGGCGTCTGCTGGCAAATGACAAATTTCCGTGTTTCGGTAAATGTGGGGCTCTGAACACCTGGGGCCTTGGGGCTGTTGTTTCTCCCTGTCCTATGCCCATTCTTGAGAGCTCTCAGAGCAGCAAACCAGCCCAGAAATATCTGATCTTATGACATAGCAAAGAGTGGCATTTTTTCCATGATGTGGAGAAGCAACCAAGCCTGCAAGTGCTGTGAATAAAGGCATTTGGCTGCGGGGCTCCATGCCTGCACCCCCTGCACATCCAGCAGTGGATCCTGTGGCCCCAGGTGGCTGGACTCTCACAGCTGGATCTGCAAAGGGCCACCCTTGCTGGGGGTACAGCAGCACCACAGGGCCTTTCTGCCTTCCCTCCTTCCCCTGCCACCCTCCAGCAATCACAACAGCCAACACCAGTAAGCACAGCACATCCGACAGCAAAAACATCTCCTGAGGTCAATGCGGCACTGGGGCAGCATGAGCACGCCAAATAATAACAACAATGATAATAACAATCAGAAGATAATTTCAGACCTTGCCAAAGAGCTCTTCAGTACAGAGTGATGTGCTGAGATCTGAGGGGACTCCGAGTGTTCCCCTACAGCAGTGCTCCCCTACAGGAGTGATGCCTTCAGCACAAGGGGATGAGGGAGGATGCTGTGGGAGGCTGGCAAAGGTCTAGCTGGGGGAACCCATCCCTGTCTTCTGTGGGACCAGCATTTCCAACAGGCATCACCATCCCAGATGCAGCAGCCCCTTAACTATAGAATTCCCGTGATGTCGGGGTGAGCCTGGAGGGGTGCAGGAGGGTGCAGGAGGATGCAGGAGGGCGGGTGGCTGCCAGCTTTCATTGTCCCCGCCGCCACCTCCCCCACCACAGTGCCGGTGGGGTCCAAGGCAGCCGGGGACAGCCACACCGCCCGACCCCAGCGCTCCCCGGGGCAGGCAGGAGCCCACGCCGGGTACCCCCAACACCCAGCAGTGCAAGCAGGACTCCCCGCGAACATCAGCACGGCGCGAACCCCAACTCCATCAAACCCCGACAGCGTGTACCCTCTGTCCCACTAGAGCCCCGACCCCACGGAGCCCCGAGCCCACGCGAACCCCGGCCCCGAGCGAAGCCCAGCCCAGCCCAAAAGTCCCCGCAGCCGCTACCTCGGCACCGACGGGGCAGCAGCGCAGGGCGCTGCCGGTGCAGCCCA